GCCACAGGCACAGTGTCCACCACCGATCAACAAGAGAGACCTGTGCACCAACCACGCGGCCTTACAACGTGTGAACTCACACTGTGGGGCCACACACATGCACACAACTGGCCACAGGCTGACCTCTGTGGACGCTGAGTCATAGGTATGTGGGCAATTATTTCTACTTCTAAATATTCAACATTTCTTGTAATGAAAAGTTAAAAACACTTTCATGCATACTTCAATTAATTTAATTAAATTACTTAAATACTTATTGCATGGGGTTGGGGGGGGACAAAAACAAGTCAAAAACCCAAGATTCACGCACAACACTAAATCAGTGATCTGAATCCCCTTTAATCTTCCTTGAAATCAAGAAACAAACTTTCCACTGGGACAACACAGCATTGCAGAAGTGACTAGGACTTTAAAAATAAGTATGTCTTAGGCAATAGATTCACATGCAGACTCAGTCTGAAAAGGATTCACAGGATCAGTCAATATGTCTGAAACAAATCCATGCAACAAAGCAGGCCACAAAGGCAGACAGTCAGGCCAGCTTGTCTAGAGTTACTTGTGCATCTGACGGGTGCGCCTCTGAAGCTCCCTCCCTCAGCTACCCCCCCTCACCCCCACCACTGCCCCCCAACCACTCTGAGACCATGCTGCACGTGTTCTTGGTAAATGCCACACTGCACTTGAAAATACATGGGTTATTTTCAAGTATCTTTTGATATTTGATTTCTAAACTAATAGCATTTCGTCCCATCATTCCATGGCAAATAGATGGGGAAACAGTGACAGACTTTATTTTTTTGGGCTCCAAAATCACTGCAGATGGTGACTGCAGCCATGAAATTAAAAGACGCTTACTCCTTGGAAGGAAAGTTATGACCAACCTAGATAGCATATTAAAAAGCAGAGACATTACTTTGCCAACAAAGGTCCGTCTGGTCAAGGCTATGGTTTTTCCAGTGGTCATGTATGGATGTGAGAGTTGGACTGTGAAGAAAGCTGAGCGCCGAAAAATTGATGCTTTTGAACTGTGGTGTTGGAGAAGACTCTTGAGAGTCCCTTGGACTGCAAGGAGATCCAACCAGTCCATCCTAAAGGAGATCAGTCCTGGGTGTTCATTGGAAGGACTGATGCTGAAGCTGAAACTCCAATATTTTGGCCACCTGATGTGAAGAGCTGACTCATTGGAAAAGACCCTGATGCTGGGAAAGACTGAAGGCGGGAGGGGAAGGGGACGACAGAGGATGAGATGGTTGGATGGCATCACCAACTCAATGGACATGAGTTTGGGTAAGCTCCGGGAGTTGGTGATGAACAGGGAAGCCTGGCGTGCTGTGATTCATGGAGTCACAAAGAATTGGACACGACTAAGCAACTGAAGTAAACTGAACCTAATTCCATGGTGATAAGAGAACAGAGTGTATGATTTCAATACCTTTAGGCCACGAAATTTCTGCACCTTGTTTTATGTCCCTGGATACGTTCCAGTGTCTCCTGATTTACAGTCTACAGGAACTTGAATAGAATTTGTATAGTGGTGTTGTGTGAAAACCGCTTAAGCTTAATTATGCTGAACTGATTCATAGTGCTCATAAGGTCTACTATATCCTTTCTACTTGTCTATCCATTCTATTAATTTTTGAGAGTTTGATACTGAAACTCCAACTAAAAATCTTAAGTTACCTACCTAAAAAAATAATTGTAGTATATAGTGGAACTATATGTAACTTTGTTCTGTATTTTCCAAGTCTCCTGTAAATGTGTTACGATACTTTCATAATTAAAACAATTTTTAAAAAAATACTAAAAAAAACACTGGACATGTACCCATGTTGGGAAAACAGAGTCCTTTTTACACGGCATATAACAGGATGTTTGCTGATTTTTTAAAGCATGCCTGCATTAATATTTCAGGTGTGACTTTACAATTGATATTGTATTAAATAATCCTCCCCAAGGAGCTATTTCCTCCACAGCATCTACCGCTAACATTCGATCCAAATTAAAAACTCTAAAGGGACAGCCTTGGGTGTTGTTTTGGCAAGCAACACTAAGTCCTAAGATGAAGTTTAAAAAACAAGACATATATAAGAGCCTGTCTTGGTAGTTCAGTTCAGTCGCTCAGTCGTGTCCAACTCTCTGCGACCCCATGAATCGCAGCACGCCAGGCCTCCCTGTCCATCACAAACTCCCGGAGTCTATTCAAACTCATGTCCATCGAGTCAGTGATGCCATCCAGCCATCTCATCCTCTGTTGTCCCCTTCTCCTCCTGCCCCCAATCCCCCAGCATCAGGGTCTTTTCCAATAAGTCAGCTCTTCACATCAGGTGGCCAAAGTATTGGAGTTTCAGCTTCAGCATCAGTCCTTCCAATGAACACCCAGGACTGATCTCCTTCAGGATGGACTGGTTGGATCTCCTTGCAGTCCAAGGGACTCTCAAGAGTCTTCGCCAACACCACAATAACCTTTTATAAATGTTCACAGAATCAAATAAAAAATTAGAACAAAGATTAACATATTTCTTGTAGCTAAGATCCAGAAGCATAAACTGAAAATAGTTTTCATTTTAAATTAATGATCTAATTCATTTTAAATAAAAAATCATTGGAATTCACTTCTCTCTATCCTTCCAACCTGACTGGGGTGAGGATGGTCATTAAGAATCAGAAACTCAGATATTTCTTTCTAGTGTTGGTTTGTCTCTCTTTCAGATACTTATTAAAATGAATCCTCATTTAAACATCAGGATATGGATAATCCTTTCTGTGAATGTTTTGTTTCTCAGTAAGAAGAAAAAGAAACTGTTTCCATAGTAACTCCGAGTGCGACTGAACTGTGTAACTCCCTAAGAGCTCCATGTGAGGAAGGACAGCAGTGGAAAGGGGAAGCCGGAAGCAGAAGCGCTATGTGACCGGCAGCCTGGGCCACTCCACGCTTCCAGACACACGCAATCCCAAAGGGGCCGAGTTCTCACCCTCTTTCTGGCAGTCCCGACCCATGCTCCCAGGAAGCTGGGTCAAAGGAAAAGACACTGTCACAGGACCGTCCTCAACATACAAAGTTTAAAGAGTGTGGCCATATTTTACACGGGCTTCCTACCCAAGTAGGGAGTTCTCACTCTTATTCCTTCTAAACTTTTTAACCAGCCCCTTACAACTTATTTCCCTTTTAATTCACTAACTATAATAACTTCTAAAAACTTTGAAATGTGTATCTGGTTTTTAAGGTTGGAGAAAAGGAAGACACTGTATCTATCTAAAATCTGCATTTATTAAAATATTTGCCCTCTGTTCCCCTACCTTGACTTTGCAGAAAGAAATCTTTCTCCCCGATGTCTGCCATTCTTAATTACTTCACTCAAAAAGGCTGCTGTCAGAGCCCAGGGCAGACAAATGAGACATAACAATCAAATACACTGTAGTGCCCTAGATTCAATCTTGGAACAGAAAAATGGCATTAATGGAAAAATTGGTAAAATGTAAATAAATTCAGAGTAATGTACCAACATCAGGACATCACTTAGTTTTGACATATAGATCATGGTAATATTAGATGTTTGGGAAACTGAAGGAGGACTATATGGAGACTCTCTATACTGTTTTTGCAACTTTTCTGTAAATAGAAGATTATTCCAACACAAAAAGTTTAGTTAAAAAAAAAATCAACATTTCCATGCAGAAAGAAATTTAAACAGCACCTTGACCAGTTTGGCATTTTATTCTGAACAGAGTGTGGGCCATCGACTTACTGCTTTGAACCCATACAACCACTTAATATTAAAAGCACAGTATTATATAGTATCTGTCTTGTCACACTGGCAACCACCAGAGTAATTTCAAAACAATGAGACAGATGTACTGGTTGCCTCTTACATCATGTTAATTCTACAAGCATATCTGAAGGAGAAGTGTCATCTTTCCCGTTTTCTCTACTAGGGGAAGTGTTCTGTACATTTGGAAGCGTCAGCTGCCTGCGTGATTGGGAGAATCTTCTCAGTCCTATCAGGCTAAACTCTGGCCACAGCTTCTCCAAAAGGAAAAACTAACGTTACTAAGAATCGCATTATCACCAGAGAATGTAGTTTGTCCCTGGTAATTCAAATACGACCAGTCAGTATTTCAGAATGATTTTCTAAACAATACTCTCTTTTCTCTTAACTGCTTTACAAAGTTATTCCTTTCAAAGTTACTCATTCACTTGACAAATAATTACATCATGCAGCAGTCTGAATCATACTGAACTTGAATGACAAATTGGATTATAAATTCAAAAATATGAAAGCAAATTCCATTTTAATGCTTCTGCACCCTAGGGAGGTTTCATCATTTCATAAACACCCAAAACCAAGGCACAAAATACTGCCATCTAAGCCACTGTACATAGTTCTACAAAGGGGACGTAAAAAATATCCTCACACAGAGCAGCTGAAATACAACCATTTCCTTATCTATCACTTTATCATGGGCTCCTGTACACACACACACACACACACACACAAGTATTTTTAAGTTAATGTAATCTTATTTAAACAGAGGACTATGAAGTGGTAAAGATAATTAAGATAAAAAAAGAAATGAAGTCATTTAAAAGACGTAAGTTGAAAAGGTGAAAGGGAGATGGTACAAGATTAGACTACTTATAAGAAGAGATGGTCAGAGGAAAAGGGGAAATTTGTGACAATTTCTGGGTATTCTGTGGTTTTCTAGTTGTCCTGCCCTGGGCCAGTCCCTTAAATTTCTCAACCTCATGCTCCTTCTCTATACCACTAAGATAATAATGACAGTCTACCTACTGAATTCTTTTTTAAGTATAAACAAAAATGGCAAATGAACACACAAGTTTTAAAAAGCTACTTTTCACCAAAGTGAGCTTTTAAAAAGACTAAACACTGCTCACTACGGGCAGTAGCTGGAGGAAAAAGAAGGAAAAAAGAGTGTATAACCATATTTTGTAAAGCGGAAGCAACTCGAGTCCGCCAGACGCTGAGCACAGCCCTGCTCACCTTGGAGACCTGTCGGAGCCACCGCAGGTACTCGGTGAAGGTGTCGAAGCAGATGCAGTACGTCTGGCTCTGAGGCCCCGAAGAGCTCAACGCCAAACAGTGCTGGTGCTTCCTCACTTCTTCTACCTGCAGAAACAAACAGTGACAGAAGCACATCAGAAAACAGGGCACGGGCACAGCTCACCACCTCCTCCCTGCGCCAGCACGGCCTTACACTCACCCGTCTGTGTGCCCCTCACTGCTTCAAGCATGCATGTTCCCAAGTCTGACCAGCCAATTTGAATTACAAGGAAACCAAAAAGGGGGTTTTACCTTCATTAGATTTCCCCTCAATACTGAAATTCTCATCTTCCTGTTTAAGACTGGAACAGACTACCTTTCTTATCCTTCTATACTCTCAAGGTTCTTACTTCCTCTTAGCAGGACCTGCAGTTAAGATTTTACTTAAGAATTTTTACTGCAGGTGGATTTTCACTTAGGGGACTTTTGCATTGCTCTGAATTATGTGCCTTTTTAAAAAGAGGTCTTCAAGCATGTTAAATAAGTTTTTTTTTTTCTTTTAGTTTATCGTGAAATTGAGATTAACCTGAAGTAAAACCCTACCGTGAGAAATTTCAAGTCCCAATAATGCAGTGATATAGTCGAATCAAATTTCTACTCCCAACAAATTCTTCATAAGGAGAAAAAGTCCAAACAATAAAGTAACATGATACTACACAAACACCTATGTTTAACTTAAAGAATGAATGTTTTCCTATATCTCATTTACAAAAATGACCACAAATCAAGTCACAAAGAAAATGCAAAACCATTCAAAAAGATCAATATCCCACAGACTGTATTCTGGGACCAAAATAAAGTCAAATTAAAAATCAGTAATAAATAAATCAATTAAAAATCGATGTTTAGAAAATTAATGTACTTCTAAACAAGTCACAGGTTAAAAAAAAAAGAAACCGCAGTCAAAATTTAGAAATTCTCAGAACTACACCATTAAAAATATTACATATTGAAATTTATGGACTGTAATAAAAAGCAGGTACACAGAGAAAATTTTATTTTAAATACTCAGAAAAGAAGGCAGAAAATTAATTTAATTGGCCATGCATCTAGTAAAATTTAGGGAAAAAAGTGAACTCAAGCAGAAGGAAGGTGATAATAAAAAGCAGAAGTTAAAATGAAAATCAAATACACAATAGAGAATATTAACAAAGCAAAAGAGTAATTCTTTGAAAAGGCTAACAAAATACAATATCAATTGATATTGATCAATGATATCAATTGAAGAGATATATATTAATAATGAAGACAACATATTAAGCAGGGATTAAAGAGATTATTATAAATAATTTTGTGGCAAATTTTTTGAAAACTATATTTTGTTAATGCTAAGTCGCTTCAGTCATGTCTGCTTTGTGACACCATGGTGGCAGCCTGCCAGGCTCCTCCATCCATGGGACGCCCAGGATTCGAGCCTCTGTCTCTGAGGTCTCCTGCACTGACAGGCAGGTTCTTTACCACTAGCGCCACCTGGGAAGTCCAACACCAAGTCAAGAAAAGAAACAGACATAGATAGTTTCATTACCATTAAAAAAATTAGTATTTTTTTTAATTATCAAGAAAAGATCAGGACCATATGATTTTGTAGGTGAGTTTTATAAAAAATCCAAGAAATAGACCATTGCAAACTAATCCACCAAGCAAGAAAAGAAATAGACCCCAAGCTATTCTATGAGGCCGGTATAACCCAAAACAGATCAGACCAGTAACAGAAAGGAAAATTAAAGGCCAACCTTAGTTATGAATAGTTACCCTGAACAAAATGTTGCAGCAGAATTCAGCAATACGGAAAAAAATATATCAAGAACAAACGTTGGATTTACCTCAGGAAAGATGCTTTAATGTTATTGGAACTATAAAATCATTAATCACATTAACAGATTGAAAAAGTCATATGGTCACCCCGACAGTTGCAGAAAAAGCTTCTGGTAACATTCTCCACCCATTCATCATTCATGATAAAAACTTTTATCAAACTAAGAACACAGATAACTCACTTAAGCCAACAGAGGGTATTTATCTAAGGCAAATGTCAATGTTAATGATGTGACATCATTCTCTTACTTTTTCTGCTCAATACTGTACTAGAGTGTTGGCCATTACAATAAGACAAAGAAATGTACTGAGGAAGAAAGAAAACTGCCATTATATGAATATGAAATGATTAGCTACATAGCAAACATGAAAAAATCCAGAGACTTTAGAAAAAATAAGAAAATTTAGTAAGGTGAGTGGATATAAGATTAATACTCAAAAATCAACCACATTTCTATACACCAAAAAGAAAATATAATTTTTTAAAAATGCTATTTAAACTAATCTGTATTGACAGAAATCTGTGTTTTTAGGGAATGGGTAGGAAATAGGCACATTTGACCTTGAGTACGGAACGAAGCAGGGCAAAGGCTAATAGAGTTTTGCCAAGAGAATGCACTGGTCATAGCAAACACCCTTTTCCAATAACACAAGAGAAGACTCTACACAGGGACATCACCAGATGGTCAACACCGAAATCAGACTGATTATATTCTTTGCAGCCAAAGATAGAGAAGCTCTATACAGTCAGCAAAAACAAGACCAGGAGTTGACTGTGGCTCAGACCATGAACTCCTTATTGCCAAATTCAGACTTAAATTGAAGAAAGTAGGGAAAACCACTAGACCATTCAGGTATGACCTAAATCAAATCCCTTATGATTATACAGTGGAAGTGAGAAATAGATTTAAGGGACTAGATCTGATAGACAGAGAGCCTGA